GTAGCAGACTTACAGTAGACGATCACCTGTATGAACCAGTTTCAATTGGAAATCGTTTCATTCTACAAAGTCTTACCTGTGACGGGCATCCCCGACCCCATCTCAGCGGAATCCCCCTGACCGTAATCAGCAGAAGCGCCGACTGCAGCAAGCATCGTGGTCAACAATACCCACGCTGCCGGGACACGCATATCTGTCTTATCATTAAGAAAAACAGCGGAAAATTCTTTTTCAAGGTGAAACTTTTCTTAACAACGTCTTTATAGTGCTTATAATAATACGATATTCCTTTCTTTGCAGATCGCTTAAAGTAAACAGATTTCCCCGTTGTTGTGTGACCCTTTACGTGCTGCCAGACTTTTGGCTATTTTCCTACCCGCAGCTCACACATGGGACCGCTATACTGTAGGTATACTCCGCCCACACTCTACCTCCAGACAGATGGAGGGAAATAAATGCTATCTCATCGCAATACCTTAGGATCCATGGCTAATGCAAGATGCATGGGGGCTTCACTTACAATTAGGTCATTTTAAATAGCACAATATAGAATAGGCTACTATAAATAATAATTTATAATATACGGTGGTACCATGGAACACAAACTTAATTCGTTCCAGAAGGCAAGTCGAGTTGCGATTTGGTCGAGGTTCAAGTCGAATATCCCCATTAGAAATAAGGTAAATGAATTTCCAGGCCCTCAAATGATTGCCTATTTAAACTTATCTACCTATATACCTAACTAATGATAAAAAAGCATTGACAATCAATGTAAAACTACAGTAAGACACACGTGAAAAAGCAGACAGACAAAAAAGCAATAAACATAAAATAAATGACAACCCTATACTCCGAAGCGAGAGCAGACACACATGCACAAGTTTAAGTTCTAGTTACTCTCACTACATTCCTCTTTGTTTTCCTGCTATCACTATAACTTTCTTAGGGGCCATAATTACTGTATCATTAAATGTACTGCAGATAAAGCACAAAAATTCACAACAATCTCAGTTTTCGTGTGTCGAACTCGGTCGAGATGCAGGGACGGATTATGGACCGGGCCAGCGGGGCCGCTGCCCAGGGGCCCTTGGGGTGCAGGGGGTCCGTGGGGCCCCTAGCCCAAAACAATTTGCAACGCTTATCAACAATGTATTTTCGTTTGTCTATTTTAGAGGGCCTACATTCTTTGATCCTCTGCCTACAAGGGCCCCTGACCCTATAGGGCCTCTGATGGAAACATGGAGGGAGGGCGTTTGGCTGCCAAGGACCCTTGAATTGTGGTGGTTGTGGTGGTGGTGGGGGCCCTCGCGAACGTTTTGCCCAGGGGCCCACACAACCCATAATCCGTCCCTGTCGAGATGTACTGTGAGACAGAGCAATTCATAGGCATCGGCATGCCAGTAGGTCCGTTTGCCTTTGTTTCTGCCCATCAGAGACGCGTCTCGATCCATACAAGTTTTCGCAGAAACGGTTGAGTTCCAACATTTAGGTCGAGGTACAAGTCGGAAAAAATTCAACAGACCCGTTCCATGACCAAGTTGGATCGACTTAAGAGACGTACGTTCCAGTTCCAAAGTTCCACTGTATAAGAATAATAATCATGAGAGAAATATAGAAGTAAAACAGTGATCCTATATCAGGGCATGTTAATTATTTCTGTTATTATACTGGTGATTTTTTTGTGTTCATATTACTGCTTTGGTAATTACATGCGTACACGTCATACCCTGTGAACTGAGCTTTGTAAGTCTTTTTGAAAGCCCCTTCCCATGTATGTTCACGCTGGAAATGTCTCCTGTTTTGTGTATTGCGTCATTTCTTTAGTATCTGCAAAGTAATGTAGCATATAATGTGTTTATAAAATGCAATTCTTTAATTATTTTATGAAAGAACAACAGAAGTGATAGAGATGTGTGTTACAATTAAGAGCTAGAGTAGTAATTAGACGAGATTTTTTTTTCCTAACGTTTTATTTTAGTTCAAGGACTTTGCTTCATACAAAATGTAACTGTAGAAACAACTGCAGAATTCAAAGTCTGGCTAATAAACATAAAACAGGCAGCAAACGACTCAATCCCACGACCCACTTGCGGTCAGTTCCATCTCTTACATTGTGGAACGTTAATATCGCCCAACACTGTTTTATAATATAAAGTTTTTTTTCTTATTCACAAACCCCCTTTATTTATATCAAAGGTCATTAAAAATGAATGACAAAAGAAATACATTGTATCAAAAAAGTAGGAAGTTAAACAATGTTTTTGCTGACATGCACATACGTGGTTCACATGCAGACTACTTTTTTAAGTACAGCCACACCTCAACAGGAATTATTTTGCACAAACAAAAGAGGAGGTAATTCATATTTGGCAACCAACAGTGATCAAATTGTGAAAGATTTTCCTCCTTAAAAAGAAGAAACATAGCATATTTGTCGAACAGATGAAAGAAATGTACCATTAAGAGGAGGGCACTAACGATGCTCCCCCCCCCCCCCCCAAACCCTTTCCAAACCATGGTAACTTATGGGGTCATGGGTGTACAGGAGGAAAATGATGAAGTTACAGAGATGTGAAGGTCCATTTTTTGTTGTACAGAAAAACAAAACTTCAACCTGGACAAAATTTGATGTCGAAGTCTACACACAAGTGTAAAACTATCAGTCACCTGATGGTTGGTAAACCTAGTGGGTTATAGGAAAAATGAATGAGTCATTTACTTTTTCCATATTGTGATTATTCTTGTTTTGTTTTGGTGTAGTCAAAGTGAGTAAATCTCAAGCATGCAATTTTCAGATATATCAACTTGCGGAAATTCTGTTCAAATATCCTTTTTTTCCCTAAATCATTGTGCCTTTATGCATTTTTTATTTTATACTTTTCATTTCATACTTTTTATATAAAAAAAAGGATTTGGTCACAATCATGCTGAAGCCTGAATCTGAAGATCCCAGCACGTAAAGCTACGGAACGGATGAAGATTTTTTTTCTCAAAGTGTCATCTTGTTGCATAGCCCTGCTTTCGTAATGAACCCGGCATCCACAGAGCCCTGACAGATTGTGGTCATGGTAACAGCATCTGGCTCCAACACCTTTCCCTTGACATCCAGTTGATGTGTGAAAGAGTGGAGCGTTTGGATCCAGCACAGTAAAGACAACTCAGTTCTGCTACAGGTGTAGGGAGGACTCTGTGACGGCGCTCCAGCCTGCCCTTCTCCGGAGCGTTTCGTGGAAATGGCACTGGATGGCAATCTAGAGCCTCTGAAAGTCTCCTTGTATTTACTACACCTAAGTACTACTGACTTAATGACTGACTTAGGTACAGTCAGCAATACTTAAGGTAATATAATCAATATGTACACAATTTCATATTAAAGCGAGTTAAAAAAAAAACAGTGCTGTTCACATGACATTTATTTATCACTGTGTATGAATATTCTTAGCAATGGACTGGTGTGTTTAAAATGTCCCATTAAAAGAATTTCATATGTAGCAGGCAAGGAGACACATAAACTGGGCCTGGTTCAGAAAGCAAGAAATATCACCAGCAGGAATCACAGCGTCTTCAACTGGGACGCAGAGGGACCCAGTGGGCTGGTAGCACTGCCTCTGCAGAGCGTTACACTGTCACCAGAGCTCTGAATCCTCTTCTTATAAAGCACTGCAATCTTAATGACTTCAGATCCTATTTTCCTTGTTCATTCTCAAAGTGTAACATTGAAATAAATAGCAATAGCTAGCAATGTTTTCTCCAAGTACCCTTAAGAGAAAACGAAATAAGCATCATTACTATACGTGTTCATAACCTTTCACAACCAAGTTAAAGACTCAAACATGCAATTGTGTTACTCTGGTTACATAGTTCCTGTTGGACTGATATACAACTAATGCAGTTTTCATATTTGTTTTATATTCAAATGTATATATCTTTATACTAGGTTCCCTTATTTCTGTTCAGCATTAATAAAAACAAATCAAAAGAAAACCATAAAAAAATCCTCGTTTCCACCTAAACATCCATTTAGTAAATTTTAGATTACAATCATGAGACAGTTCGCATCCAGCATCAAGGACCTGATGTTCTCTAAGAGGCCCAGCACACCTGCCTCATTTCAATTAAACCAACTCCCTCCCTCAAGTGTTGATGCAGTGAAAAAAAGGTTGAGGTTGCATCATTACTACAAGATATTTAAAAGGTTAGGCACTTGGTAATTAACAACAGGAGCAGTACGTAGGAAACATTAGACCTGACATGATAGTGAACCATAAGCCGTTTACATAAAACATAGTTCATCTTTACAGTTTACAAAAACACACATAATGAATAGATAAAAGTCCTATCGTAGCTTATTAAAAGACAAATTACGTTTAACTCTTTTCTTTGTCGGGATAAAAGTAAGGGTGATTTGGGCATAAATGTAAAACAGCAGCAAATGAAGAATAATCTCAGAATATAGTCTGTAATAAATATGCTTCTAAGAAGGACCAAATAGCTCTTCTATATAAACAGTGGTAGTGATACTCTACAGCAGAGATGAACGCGGGGCCACGACGCAGAGCATTTTCCGCATTCCCTGTCCCACGAGTCTCCCCTGGAAATGTCCTCTGGGACACCCTGGATCACATGAAAGACACTGAACTGACTGCATTCCCAGGGTCACTGTGTCACACTGCGAGGCCCATGTCCATCCACACTGGAGGGCTGTGACCCCAGACCGGGGCACTGCAGAGGTGCACGGGCCTCTGCTTTCTGATCGACCGGAGGAGAACATTTTTGCATTCCCCCCTCCCCCCATCTTCTGCCTCCAGGATGGGGCACGAGGAGAAACGTCAGACCCGCATGTCACATCTCTGTCCCTTGTGTTTTCGCGTCACCAAATGCCACAAGCCATTAGTGCAAAAAGAGCCGACAAAACCCCAAACACCGACATCAGCTTTGATCGCTTTCAGCCATTTTCTCTCTTTTTTTTAAACTCTAAAAGCCGATGCTTTTTCTGGATGCTTCCCCCCCCCCCCCCGCCTTTCCTTAAAAGGATGCATATACACATACACACACAGAAGGAGTGTAAACTACCACCCTCACAAAAGATGATAAAACTCATCACATTTCCCAGAAAACGCTTTCGAAAAACCCCGGTCTGTGAGAAGCTGGCGTCCCCTCGTGTTGAAACCATGCTAGCACCGGTCGTCCTCTTTGCCCTTGTGGTGGTACCTGGGGCCCCTGGCCCTGGGGCCTCCCACCAGGGTGCAGTGGTATCCGTTGGGGACCCCGCGACTTTGCGCAGGTGGTGGAGGAATGGCCACTACGTGAGGGATGGCAGTCAATGAGGGGGGGCCAGCGTAGGAGCCCGCCGGGCCCTGGGGAGCAGCCTGCTCCTCCGCGGGGCTGCCCTGCATCCCGCCCTCTACCTGTGGGTCACTGTGAGCCAAGTAGGGCTCGGACCCAATGCGGGAGAGAGGCAGCGGCGAGTCCAACTGCAGGAGAGCTACGTGCTCCGACAGCCCGCGGGTCAGCCCCCCCAGGCACGATGAGGGCGGTCCGGCCTGAGGGGCACCGAACGGCACAGGGGAGGAGTTGGCGGTCCGATAGGTCACACCGGGACGGGGGGTGAGGGGAGTCTGGGGGAGCTGTCTGCGCCCCCGGGGAGTGCTAGCCCCCGACGTCAACATCAGCGGGCTGCCTTTAGCTGAACCACTGCCCTACATGAAAATTGGAACAAAGCAAAATCAAAACAATAAAAACGATGAAGACAACGAGATGGGGGGGAGGGGGGTGAGAAATGGACATATACATAAGAAGGGCTCAACGCGGATGAGAGAGAGAGACAGCATGAGAGAGGGAGGACCGGGTGGTAGGGGGGCGACGCGGAGACGGGTGTCAGCACGGGGAAATTAAAATGGGACAGCAGACGGGCGAGATGTGCGGGGGGGCGAGGTGAAGAAGAGAGTGGAGACAAAGGAGAAAAGCCATGAGTTCCAGGAGCCCTGAACACCAAGGGCAGAGCAAAGAGAGAGAGAGTCTGACGCACCACCAGAGAAACGACATCTGGGCTGAGCTCACAGGAGTCCAGAGAAACGACATCTGGGCTGAGCTCACAGGAGTCCAAGGCACGGTGGCATCTTCTCATACACAGGAAATGCATTCTTGTCTTTCCTTTTTGCATTCCTTCTCAGTCATGCCTTATTTGTATGACGTTTATACATTTAATAGTTTTCCTTCTGAGAAACATGCTGTTTCTCAGAAGCTAGTCCTCATGACAATCCCTCCCTATGTCGTCCTAAACAGGTCTGGTAAGGCTTCCTGGCCTCCCCCCTGATCACCGTCCCCCTGCCGCCCCCCTGATCACCGTCCCCCTGCTGCCCCCCTGCCCGCCCCACGCACCTGCCTGTTGGCGGCCGACTCCTGGTCCTCGTTGGGCGACGCCGAGCGGCTGGCGCCTGCCGACTTGGCGTGGCAGTGCTCGCGGCTGCCGTAGCGGTCGCATGAGTAGTACCGCTGTTTCTCCGAGGACGCGGAGTGGTGCTTCCTCTCGTGAGAGCGGCCGCGGTCATGTGCTCGATCCCGGGACGATGGTGTGGCCGGGAGCTCTCCAGGAGTACCTGTACAAAAGGGTTAACAGGGCAAACTGACATCACTAACCCTTAGGTTTGTTCTAAGATTATTATTCTGTGAAATATCTAATAATTAAAAAAGACCTCTCTATTATAATTCATAATTGTATGCCATAATACTGTATATGCACACATAATCCAGTGTATTTCCTTCTGGGATAGTTTAGGTTCACAGCAGCTGTCTTTTGGGGCTCCCAGTATAGCACACACACACAGACATTCTGGCCTCTGGCGTTTTCACACAGACAGCCGTCTAAAACCTGTCCACATATTTTCCCCTCCTAAATTCTTCGCTCCGCCTTCACCGTTGCCCCACTGTTGTAAATCAGAGGGTTACTGGGTCTGCATGCCGGTCCGGCCCTTTCATCTCCGTAATGGGGGGCAGCTGCAGGCTGCCACACTTACACTTAGTGCCCTAATGCCGCCAGGCAACAAGCACTGATCTCTCTCACAGACGAGCCCTGAGAGTCAAAAACCAGACATTCCACTGAGGTTCAGCCTGCATTACTCAATCATACTGTTGTCAGGCATCTTACTGCCAATCTCATCACCAATCTGAATTTAAATATCATTAGTTTACTAGTAGTAACTGTATGAGACTCTGAGAAATTAGCTTGCTTTAGTTCTGTATTACAAGAGCCAGGGTTTTGGCATGTGGCTCAGCAGGTTAGAACTCTGTACCCATCATCAGAAGGTTATTGATTCAAATCCCAGGGGCTGGCAGAGTGATTTCACTGTCAGACCTTTAACTCCCAATTGCTCCAGGAACTGCCTGACCCAGCTCTCCCAGCTGCATGCTGCTTTGCTTAAAACCGTAAGCAGAATGTAAATCAACCACCAGCTATTGATTATTAGAGAATGGCCATGACCACACCAGCCCACTACAGCCGCCCAAAGATTGATCCTAAAAGAATGAGTGCGCTAGTAGGTATAGAGTAGCTAAGTGTTGCGATAACTGCATTTATCAAAAACCAAGGGGACATAAATGACAGGAAAACAGGCTGTTTTTCAACACAGGAGCTGCTCTCTCTCTCTGCCAGCCTAAGACGCCTTCCTGCAAAAGCAGGTGACATGGTGAAGGATATCTCCATCTGGGAGTGTCCGTGCTGCACAAAAAGGGCTCCATGCAGGTTGACAGAGTCACAGGGATCTCGGGTGGGGGGGCTTAACCTGGCTGCAGTGTTACTGCTCATGCTGAGGCTGATACACGCAAAGCCCTTGTGGGAATTTCCCTTACACAAAATTGTTCTGAGGGCAGAATGAAAAGTGATTGGTTCAGAGAGATAACCAATCAGGTTGTAGAGGAGTAAAGTCTGAAGCTTTTTGTAGGCGAGATGGGAGATGGACTGTCTGGTGGGGACATGGGTGTCGCCGCTGTGATCCCCCTCCTGTTTGGGACAAAGGGTCAGGTCCCAGAGCCAATGCACTTTAACCCAGCGGTAACCAGATTCAGATCAGGGTATTTTATTGTTGTGTTTATGCGATTGTGGAGGGCATGGTAGGGCATGGTGGATGCCGTTTGGGATGTGATTGTCAAGGCATCAGTTCAGTACTAAAACTTTCATGCAAGGGCGCATCCGAACACGGGGCTTCTGAAGCGGGGGCTATAAGCCACCTGTTTAACTGCACCAGGATCACTTGGACCCAGTGAGAAATGGATTCATTGGCTGTTGTTTTATGCAGCTGTTGCCGTGTTGAATGACTCCGATCAGGCAGAAAATCAAAACAGTTTGAAAAAGCAGACTGAGTATGAGAACAGAAATTGTTTCATTAATTATTATGTTTCTTTTTCATTCCGTTCTCAGTTGATTTATGTTAAGAACAACAACAGCAACACACACGTATAGATAGCTAATGTAGAGCAGGCCGGGGTTCCACTGTGCGTATCGCAGGCCCACCGACCTGCGGTGCTGGTAGGCTGCCGACTGGGAGACCTGTCCAGCGACCTCTGCTTCCTCTCCTTCTCCCGGCGGTGGCGGCAGTGATGGTGGTGGTGATGGTGGTGCGACCTTGTCGGTGCGGGCCGCTCATGGACACGCTCATGCACACTGGCCTCCGGGGGGCGCTGTGGAGCCAACGTGGATACGGAGCGCTTCATGGGACTCTCATCAGGAACAGGCTGCCAGAACCAGGAGGTGGGTCAGAAGGCCGGTGATGAAGAATAACAGAACAACAACCAGCATGCAGGGGGAGATGCTCAACCTCGGAATGCATGCCTCTTCTTTTCTGTTTTTTTCTCTTCCATTAAGCCATCATGTGGCTAATATGTATGTGGTATAGCTTTTAACTGGCTTGGTCAAAGGTAGTTTAGCTTTTTCGGCACGGATGAACCTCAAAAAAGTGTGGAAAGAATTTCTCTGTAACGTTTTTAAGGCAAGCACTGCGGCAAGGTGAAGCACTCATTAGCTCCCTCTAGTGCTGAAAGCTGATTCCTCTCAGCCACACAAAACATTCCGCAATTCTCTCCACATACACCAGGATTTAAAAGTTTTTGCACGCCACAGGTTTTTACCACTTTTACATTTATTTCATAAACTGCAGAATTTTATTCTTGTTAAGCATTGGAAAGTTAAGTGAACAGCTATAAATAAATAAAACAAACAATAAACAAGTCAAATAAAAGCTTCCTTTATAAAATGGAAAGAGTATCAGTAACAGCGCATGTCCGACATCCTAACTGGTTGTGTGGTGATAAATTCTAAGCTGACCTTTACCTTTAAATGCACTAGTTAATTGTTTCATCCCATAAATATATTTAATGTCCCTTGTGGAATGAAGGCGCTGAATTTTCTCTGCTGTTATAACTTCTAGAGGAGATTACTTTGATGAATCAAAGATATGACATTTTCTTGCTAATAAAGGTACTCAAATGGTGAACATACTGTAAACGTATTCGTTAGCAAAGAATATCGTGTATACAGACGCTCCTCTACTTACGAACTTTCAACTTGCGAACCTTCAGACATATGAATGAAGAGGACTGTAAGTCCATATTGTGTTCATTGGGCTCCTGTTTCCTGTCCACAACATAATTTTTTTTTTCTGCGCGCCAATTCCGCCTAGTATGACTTCTGGCCGCTACTCCCGCCGCGCAGCAGCGTAGCGTTTGTACTCCCAGCATCCTAGTCCTTTGTACTTGCGTATATCCTTAAAATGATGTTGAATAACGATTACAAACATTTCAATTTACGAACGGCCGTTCGGAACGTATCTCATTCGTAAGCAGCAGAGCGTCTGTAATTTTAGTAAATGTTAAGTGAGTAACGGGCAAACGTAGAAAAGTTCACTGTGTGCAAAAACCTGGTACTGTAAGTAAAAGCAAGTAAAATAAAATAAAAAAAAACCACTGGCATCTTTCCACGGCGTAGAGTTTACAAAAATGAGCCTCTTTAAAGCATCTAAGCTTCAAGAAAATGGCAAGTGGGCAAGAAGCTAACAGCTGCAGAAGCTGACAAGCTCTTTGAGGACTGAGGGAATTAAGGTACTGTAGCTCTCGTTAATCAGCACTTCCGGAGATACTGCATTTGGGGGGATGGTATCTAACAACATGTTTGGTATCACCAGCTGTGCTTATGTACTGTAACGCCTTGAATTTAAGGCTTGCGGGAGAGATGAAAGAAGGCTTTGCACCTCACTGAAAAGCTCTGCAAGACCGGCTCTGTCTTCCGTCGTCGTTGTCAGATAAATGCTAATCCTGTAATGCCTGGTCATGTTGAATAGTGTGCGACAGAACCAATGTGCACCTTTAAAGCAGGATGTGCTTGCGGCAACAAGCAATGCTATTAAACAATGCAATAAAAATGTATTGCGACAGCATTAATAGTTATAAAATATTGGCAAAAAGTCCAGAAATGTCTAAGTTCAAGAAAGGCCCCATTTGCATAACAGATGCTAAAAGTGCAACATATTTTAAAACTTAACATTCAACAGATAATGGATCCAACTCACTTCCATTTTCAAAAGTACAAACATGCATTAATGTTACCTACTGCCATAGTCATTAGGAATTAAGCGAGTTTCATCTGTCTCACTGCATTACAGCTGTGTACATTCGATCCCCATTTGAATTTCCCAATTCAGAAGTTTAGCTGGGCTAAACTTGAGGATGTACATAACTACACAGGTGTAAGTGCAGTGCAAGAGGAAACTATCAATATAAGATGTATGTCCTGCCCAGGGGGCGCATGACACATTCAGTTATCTGAGCCCTGTTGGTTGCTGATTAAAAGAGGCTGTGTAGCGATTGTATAGAGAAATAAATGCTGCTCATATGAGGATACTGAAAGCTACAGGAGGCCTTTCCTCCATCGAAGGTGCAAATTTAAGCACTTTGGGATCGTTTCTGATTTCTGGCCACCATGGATAAGTGACACACAGATGTGGTGGGTCAGCATGAAGAGAGAGAGAGAGAGAGAGAGCGAGAGAGAGAGATGGGTGAGAGGCAGAGCTGTGGTACGTACTGAGAGGCACGTTCCCAGGGGGTTTCGGGAATGGCTCCGCTGGCAGACAGCACACGATACGGGTGGAGAAGACGTGAGCAGCAGCCATGGCGGGTGGGCGGGCGGTCAGGCGGGTAGGGGCACACATCGAACGGGACAAAGAGGAGGGGGGGGGCACAGAAGGAGGTGATAGGAAAAAAGAAGAGCAGAGGAGATACGAGGAGGCAAGGGGGGGGAGTAAAGGTGGGAGAAATGGCAGAGTAAAGACCAAATGAGGAAGAAGGCAGGAGGATAGAGGAGAGACAAAAAAAGACAGAATACGAAAAAGGAGAGCGTAAGGAAATGGGTGTGGAAAGGAAAAGTGATAGAAGATGGTGATGTGGGAGGAGGTGGCCAGTTTGGTGCAGGGTTAAACCATGAGCAGAGATGGAGAGGGGGGTCCATTGGGGAGAGGTATAACACAGACAAGGGTGGGGGGGGGGGGGGGGGGCAAGACGGAGAGCAAAGCAAAACAAGACAGGAAGAACACGGTTAAACGTGAGTCAATCGGACAGTTGGTAAGAAAGAGGCGGGCTGAGGGGAGCTCATAGAGGCAGGAGAAAGGAGGCCATGTGACCGAATGGAGGCAGAAGGAGGAAAGGGAACTGAAAGGCAGCCTAAGGGAGCAGCACGGGCAGTGAGGAACTCAAGGGAAATAAAGCTAAAGGAAATAAGGAAAGTAACTGGAAATGGAAGCACAACATTATGGAGCCACATGTTTAATACTGAATTTCTAAAATAAGCCTGTGTCATCAAGGCAAAAATCAAGCACATTTATCAACTGAGTTCTAAAAGCAAAATTAAATCCTATATGACTTTCTAGTATTTTCATTCAATTATCACTCACATTTTAAGAAAATCTGCAGACTTCTAAATAAAGTAAATGAACAAAAAGTTATTTTTTTAAAATTCCCATCAGGACCTTTCAGCTGTAGGGTGGTTTTTGCGGCACGTAATAGGATATTGCACACATACTGTGTTGATCTGCATTTGTGAGACCAGAACAAGTTTCATTTCAGTGAGCTGAAATGGCCACTATCTGCACGGTTGTGGTTCCAGCCTGTAGGATGGTGGGAACAGAGCCCTTCTCGCACATGGACATGCCTACAGGAAGGTGAAATGGACAATGTTCCCTTGTACTTGTACTGCTTTCATGTGTGGTGCATGTTTCAATAGTTTATTAGATATTTCAACAGCTAGTAATAAAGCATTACTCTGAATTCACAATGAAAAGAGAAATCTTGCGTGTTTTTTGTGTTGTTTCTTTTGGTCTTGTGACACCGGTGCTCATCTAACCCCTCAACGGACCTGTCGTTTTCCATGTCACCAGAAGAACATTAGTATTGGACACTCGGGTGAGGAGAGGGGCGGAGCTGTCAACCGATCACCACCTGGTGGTGGGTTGGCTCCGCTGGTGGTGGAGGAAGCCGTTCAGACCTGGCAGACCCAAGCGTATAGTGCGGGTCTGCTGGGAACGTCTGGCGGAATCCCCTGTCAGGGGGAGTTTAAACTCCTACCTCCGGCAGAACTTCTCCCATGTCCCGGGGGAGGCGGGGGACATTGAGTCCGAATGGGCCATGTTCTGCGCCTCCATTGTGGAGGCGGCTGACCGGAGCTGTGGCCATAAGGTGGTTGATGCTTGTTGCGGCGGCAATCCCCGAACCCGCTGGTGGACACCGGCGGTGAGGGATGCCGTCAAGCTGAAGAAGGAGTCCTATCGGGCCTTTTTAGCCTGTGGGACTCCGGAGGCAGCTGACAGGTACCGGCAGGTCAAGCGGAACTCGGCTTCGTCGGTCGCTGAGGCAAAAACTCAGGTATGGGAGGAGTTTGGCGAGGCCATGGAGAACGACTTCTGGACGGCTTCGAGGAGATTCTGGTCCACCATCCGGCGTCTCAGGGCGAGAAAGCGGTGCAGCAACAACACTGTTTATGGTGGGGATGGTGCGCTGCTGACCTCAGCTCAGGACGTTGTGGGTCAGTGGAAGGAATACTTCGAAGACCTCCTCAATCCCACCAACACGCCTTCCAATGAGGAAGCAGAGTCTGGGGACTTGGGGGTGGACTTACCTATCTCTGGGGCAGAGGTTGCTGAGGTGGTTAAAAAGGTCCTCGGTGGCCGGGCCCCGGGGGTGGATGAGATCCACCCGGAGTTCCTCAAGGCTCTGGATGTTGCGGGGCTGTCTTGGTTGACACGCATCTGCGGCATTGCGTGGACATCGGGGGCGGTGCCTCTGGATTGGCAGACCGGGGTGGTGGTCCCCTTCTTTAAGAAGGGGGACCAGAGGGTGTGTTCCAACTATAGGGGGATAACACTCTTCAGCCTCCCTGGTAAGGTCTATTCGGGGTGCTGGAGAGGAGGGTCCGTTGGATAGTTGAACCTCGGATTCAGGAGGAGCAGTGTGGTTTTCGTCCTGGCCGTGGAACAGTGGACCAGCTCTATACACTCGGCAGGGTCCTGGAGGGTGCGTGGGAGTTTGCCTAACCAGTCTACATGTGCTTTGTGGACTTGGAGAAGGCATTCAACTGCGTCCCTCGGGGAGTCCTGTGGGGAGTGCTCCGGGAGTATGGGGTGCCGGACTGCCTTATAAGGGCTGTTCGGTCCCTGTACAACCGGTGTCAGAGCTTGGACCGCATTGCCGGCAGTAAGTCGGACTCGTTCCCGGTGAGGGTTGGACCTTTTATCACCGATTCTGTTCATAACCTTTATGGACAGAATTTCTAGGCGCAGCCAGGGCGTTGAGGGTGTCCGGTTTGGTGACCTCAGAATTAGGTCTCTGCTTTTTGCAGATGATGTGGTTCTGTTGGCCTCATCAGACCGTGACCTTCGGCTCTCACTGGAACAGTTCGCAGCCGAGTGTGAAGCGGCTGGAATGAAAATAAGCACCTCCAAATCCGAGACCATGGTCCTGAGCCGGAAAAGGGTGGAGTGCTCTATCCGGGTTGGGGAGGGGGTCCTTCCCCAAGTGGAGGAGTTTACAGTAAGTATCTCGGGGTCTTGTTCACGAGTGAGGGAAGGATGGAGCGGGAGATCGACAGGCGGATCGGTGCGGCGTCAGCAGTGATGCGGGCGCTGCATCGGTCTGTCGTGGTGAAGAAGGAGCTGAGCCAAAAGGCAAAGCTCTCGATTTACCAGTCGATCTACGTTCCTAACCTCACCTATGGTCACAAGCTGTGGGTAGTGACCAAAAGAATGAGATCGCGAGTGCAAGCGGCTGAAATGAGTTTTCTCCGCAGAGTGGCTGGGCTCTCCCTTAGAGATAAGGTGAGGAGCTCAGTCATTCGGGAGAGACTCAGAGTAGAGCCGCTGCTCCTCTGCATCGAGAGGAGCCAGATGAGGTGGCTCGGGCATCTGCTTAGGATGCCTCCTGGACGCCTCCCTGGTGCGGTGTTCCGGGCATGTCCCACTGGGAGGAGGCCCCGGGGAAGACCCAGGACACGCTGGAGGGACTATGTCTCTCGGCTGGCCTGGGAACGCCTCGGGATTCCCCCAGAGGAGCTGGAGGAAGTGGCCGGGGAGAGGGAAGTCTGGGTTTCCCTGCTGAGACTGCTGCCCCCGCGACCCGACCTCGGATAAGCGGAAGTAAATGGATGGATGGATAGATGAAAAACTTTAGTTCCTGGCCGGCTTCCTTGAGTAGATCTGTCGTGATATAATGGCACAGATTTTCAGTTGGCCCACAGCAGCTTTCCTTTCTTCTTCTCCAGCCCACAGTATGGTAAGAGTAGTCTCTCAGTAGTAACAGTATTCTCTCTAGTCTACCATGTAGTAACAGTAGTCTCTCAGTAGTAACAGCGCACAGTGTACTAACAGTAGTGTTTCCAGCCCACAGTGTAGTCTCTGTAGCCCATCGTGTAGTAACAGCTATCTCTCTAGCCCACAGTATAGTAACAGTAGTCTCTCCAGCTCACAGTGTAGTAACAGTAGTCTCTGTGGCCCACAGTATAGTAACAGTAATCTCTACAGCCCACAGTGTAGTGACAGACGTCTCTCCAGTCTATAGTGTAGTAACAGTAGACTCTCTAACCCACAATGTAGTATCAGTAATCTCTCTAGCCCACAGTGAAGTGGGCTTTTCAGTCCACAGTGTAATCTTTTCAGTCCACAGTGTAGTAACAATAGACTCTCGGTACAGCAGTCTCTCCAGCCAACAGTGTAGTAACAGAAACCTTTCAAGCCCACAGTGTAGTAACAGTAGTCTGTCAGTAGTAACAGTAGTCTCTCCAGCCAACAGTGTAGTAACAGTAATCTCTCCAGCCCACAGGTTAGTAACAGCAGTCTCTCAGTAGTAGCAGTAGACTCTCTAGCCCACAGTGTAGTAACAGAAATCTCTACAGCCCACAGTGTACTGTAGTAACAGCAGTCTCTCCAGCCTACAGTCTAGTCTAGTATTGTAGTAACTGGTGAGAGTGCCCAGCAGTCACTCTGCACACTGATGGGATGTCCCCTTCCGGAGAGGTCAAGCCAAGGCCCTGAATGAAATGCTTTTCATGCTTGTCTGTCCATTCACTGCAGTACCTGTAGATCTGAGCCAAAATTCTGCACAAACAAAATGTAACTAATGCTGGTTCCTGTTGCTTTGTGTCACACTGCAGTTTCAGTAGGTGGGAGGCTGATATATTCTTTGATAAGAACACAGGAAAAACAAAAAAAAGAAAAGAAAACTAGGCTGTAGGAAGTCTGATAAAAAAAAATAGTGACAAGTAAAAAATAATAAAAAAAAAAACAGGGCATCCATTATGTATATGGACTAAACATGCAGTGAGATGCTGAATACAGCAGACAGTCAAAGCCTGTTAACCTGAGTCTGTGAGAGAGTACCTGCATTTCAGCGTTGAGTCTGGGCATGGATGCCGCTCTTCCTTGACTTTCTAAGCCTGCACTGTCATTGTGCTCCATCTTTTTCATCTCCACTGACTCCTAGAGAACACGAGCAAATGCCAGTAGGCAGACAGACACACACACAGATTATTTCCATAACAGAAGTTTATGTGACACACAAAATGTGTGGCGAAAAGGCAAAATGGCCGCCTTTGTCTACCTGAGCTTTGGCTGCGTTTGGCACCTCCTCTGATTGGCCCCTTTGATCCTTCTTCTTACTTTTTGCTCGTGGAGGTTCTGGCAGTTTATCCGTAATCCAAGAATCTTTGGCAGCACTTCCTGGGCCTTGCCTAAGTTTTACACACACACACACACACACGCACACACACACGCACACACACACACACACACATGCGCGTGTACACACACGCTCAGCAAACAAAGTTTTTATGGCAGTTGTGCAGTTGTATCTTCTGTATGTCTCCCGAATTAACACCGCTAGATAACCTACAGCTTCCTTCTCCATTTTAACAGTCTTGAGAGTTAATTAGTAAGGTAATTCAGTAATGGGCTTTGATTAATGTGATTACATCGCAAATTGAAACCATAAACTGTAAACGGCGGTGTCATGTCCTTCTTGCCGGCTGATGGAGAGTGTAGAGTGTACATGTGGTTATTACCAGGGAGTCACTGGTGTGGCGCCCCCTGCTGGGTACTCACATCGTGCCACCATTGTTCAGAGAGGTGGTGGTGAGCGGGATCTGGGCTTCAGGCAGACACGTAGTGTTGCTGGCAGGGATTTCCTGGTCCTGCATGAGAGCCAAGGGCAGGATCGGCTTGAAGAGGGCGCTCACTTTGCTCTGTGGGTGGGAGAGAGGGGGGGGGGCTCATGGGAAGAGGGCCAAAGCCTAACAGCTGGGTAGCTTTCCTCTGCACAAGTCGCCCATGTGCCAAGTGCTAACAGACTCTGCTGGACGCACCTTGTAATTTACCTTTTACTGTCAGCTGACTGTGCTTTTTGTTTAATTGTGCAAAATAAGATAGAGGCAAGTCTCCAGGTTACAAACGAGATCTATTTCCTTAGCCTGCCTTTAAGTCGAATTTGTAGGGAAGGCGGGAAAATAATTATGAGATGCATCATAATAATAATGATAATAATAATAAGAAGAAGAAGAGGAAGGATGTAGTAATAATAAAAGTAATTACATGCAGCACTGTACTTTACCTGAACCACTGAAACCACACAATGTTTTCGTGACAAAGTGGCCTGTGGCTTTGTTACTACGAACCGTTGTATTTCACCCAAACGTTTAATATAATAGGCTTGTTGGCAGCCTGTTAAGTACGAATTTTCTGTAAGTCAGACATTCTTAACCGCCTGCAGTCCCACTACTTCCATCCTTCTTCTGTAAACACTTGTTCCATGTAGGGCATTGGGGGTCAACTAGGATGTGGCACCAAGCCATGTCGGGGTTTCTTTTGTGCGTGGGGAGCTGGGCTACACAGAGGAAACCCCACGATGACATGGGAAGAACATGGAGCTACGGGAGAGACTGCAACTCTGGTCCCAGAGGTGTGAAGCATCAGTGCTAACTGCACCACAGTGCTGCCCCAGTCCAGCTAATTATTTATTCATTATGCACATTGCATATTTTATGAAATATATAAACTTGAATTCCCCTAAAAAATATTTGAAGACAACTTTACCCCAATATCTGTAGAGACACACATTTTCCAACTACTAGGCAGCATGTGAGTGTGTGAGACATCAAAGCTGGATGCACTGATGGAAACTCAGCCTTCCCAGAATCCTTTGGGCTGGAGCCCTGCCAGGTTACCTGTGAGCCGGGGATCGGCTGCTGCTGCTGCTGTTGCTGCAGCCTACGGGCCCGGTTCTGTTTGTAGTAGTCAAAGATCATCAGGGCTGCGTAAACCTTTCCCACTGTCAGCTCATTGGCTACCAGGATAAACCAGAAGGAAAAGGTTTTGTCAGAGCTTGATGCCTAGTGGCACAGGGTATAAGAAGAGCAATTCTTCATCTGTGTGAAGAACTGGATATCACTTCAGTGGTTAAAACGTGCAACTTTTACAAATACCGCCTGCACACACAACTCTATCACTAATATTCCCTTAGTTTAAAGGATAAAACATGTACATTTTCTATACTAATTTAACTTTACACAATCTAACACCTAAGAAGAAAAAATATTTATCAATATATTAACAGCAAATGCTTTTGTTGTACCAAGACAGTCAAAGGTAATAGTTTTGTTCTCAACAAGGAATTAAATCAGAACGGTGAAAGAAGACATATGGTTTAATAAAACACTGAAGATCCTGCTAAAGGGAAAAACATACAAAAAGTAATTAAGCATGAAATTCTGGTACTTTAGAAATAGCTGTGAGATGTAGATGTTTGGACGTCTTTGAAGGAGGGCAAGCCACCTGCAATTCCTAGCTGATTTGTTTTTTTTAGTCAATGTATTTTTTATTTGGTTTTTTCAGACATACAAAAAAAAAAAACCCACAAGAGACAAGCATTAAGACAAATAAACATAACATCACAAGACAAATCTAAAAAAAAATATATATATAAATAAAAATTTCCCTGTCTACACAGGGCAGCTAACAAAGAAAACATGTTCAGTTTGTAGGGTCTTCTGGCGGATTAGAGCTGAAATCGCAGTTTTGAGGCGTTTTATTGTCGCAGTCTGTAAAATCCAAAGAGTTTTAAAGCCCCTTCTTCCAAGCACCAAATCCACTAAGTATCCCTTTACCATCTCGGAGGAGTCATGAGACTCTCGCATCTCCCCTTAAAACTGTCACCGTCTGTTACATTTCTGCTCCCGCTGTTGGCGACGTGGCAGTTAGCAGCTGTTAGTATCCGGCGCAGCATCAAGGTGAATCAGGTGTTGGCTGAGCCGTTGTGTAGTCTGGGCCGGTGTTTGCCAACATACGATTAATAATAAGGAGCCGACATTACTCAGACACTACTCAGAGCCGAAGGGCACTGAGCTGGGTAAATGCTACTTATTCTAAGCACAAATATCTCACGCTACTCTGCAGAAAGACTGAAACAGCATATTAGTTTAATTCTTATTAAACAGGTTGTATGAATGTGTACACGTGCACATTAAAATGATCAGGTTAGGAGAACAGCAATGCAAAATTTAATTTGAGTTTCAAAGTCCTCTTGTTGCAGTTAATCCTTTTATCTGCGCTTTTAGTAGAAAACTTAAAAGAATACGAGAGAGCCAATGGTTGCCAAATGGTTATATATACTGCAGTGCTGGTGAGATGTGGCTCCAACATAGCAGGGGGCAGCGAATTCAGCACCAAGGGAGCAGGACATTGCTCCAGGTACTTCAGTGGTACTTTGCTGGTCAGGGATTCGAATCCGCAATCTTTCAATTAGCGTATATCCCTAACCATTAGAGGCCACCACTGCCACACAATGGATGACCATGGAAGTTTATCACACAGTTATATGCTACAGTGAATATTTTGTACAGCAAGTGTAAGGACATCTTGTGCACTAAAATCCTCAAGTTAAACCTGTTGTCTATGTACACCCACTAGATGTCAGTGTGACCGCAGTATTGTCTAGGTGTGTCCAAGGATAACCCTGGGAGGGGTGCATGAGGAGTGAGACTGCAGTGTTTGAGGTGGGGAGGCACAGGAGAATGCAAATATAGCTCAGATGCTGGGAGCGACTGCGGAGGTTATTTGTAGATGCTTTATGTAGTGAGACTGCAATGGGACACAGAGGGAGAAGCCAGGCTCACAGAACCAGCAGGTAGAGACAATATCCAGTTTAGTACTCAACTAGTTACAAAGCATAGCTAATACCTCGCTCTAACATTCAGTGGTTACAAGCTTGTGAATGTCTACTTACAAGTTTATTAAGAGTAGTGCCGTATGAACCCAACCAAGAAGTGCATGAATAAATGTGGTTGTAGTTTTCAATTTGGATCTTAACTATTTCAAGCAATATAGTGTTTCATTTCAGTACTGACAAGGTTTAAATCAGGGGCCTCACACTGAAATAACCTAGGGAGCACTCGCTGGGTTTAAATCAGGGGTCTCAAACTGAGATAACCTAGGGAGCACTCGCTGGGTTTAAATCAGGGGTCTCAAACTGAGATAACCTAGGGAGCACTCGCTGGGAGATCCTCTACCAAGA